TCCGGAGGGGGGCGGAGCGCTACCCGGCTGGGCGGGGCTCCGGGGCGGCGGCGGCGGCCCTGGCTGCGAGGCTTCCTGTGGAGGAGCCGCGCGGGGCCACGATCGGCGGGCACAGCCACAGACATCACCGACCTCGCGGTCTGGACTCCGAGGGCGCGACGCCGTGGATGCGCGGCCGCACGGGCAGGCCCCGCACGGGGCATCGGCGAGGCCAAGCCCCGCATCCACGGGGTCGCGGCCCGGGGGCCCAGGCCGCGAGGCCGTGGATGCGTCCGCCCGCCCCACCCCACCTCCAGACATCCAGCGCCTCGAGTCCGCACATTCCTAGGCAAGGCGGCAAGGCGGGCTACTGGGCCCCATTGTCGGCGATCACGAAGCCATTTTGAGCAGAGAGCGGCCGTTCCAGTATCCATCCGGGCCTACCAAGAAAAGCACGTTCTTAAAACAAGCCACTACTCTGAAGACATAAAGCCGATGCATTGAAACACGACTGCATCCGCCAAACATGATCTAAGAAACATTCGTACAAACCATTAAAAAAGATTAGTTGCATAACATGCTGCACTGGCCCTGTAGGCGAGCCAGAATGTTTCGCCACTGCTTGACAGGACTATTGGGCATATTCCTCCGAACGTTGCTTCTTACCCAGGCACGCCAACACCCTGCCCCCCCCCAAAAAAAAACAATACCAAAAACAAAAACAAAAACGTCTCCGCCGAGCCGCTGGCCCGGCGGCGACCGTGTCCTTTGGTGCCCGGGCAGCAGTCGCTACCCGAGGTCAAGAGGAGGAGGAAGAGGAGGAGGAGGAGGAGGAAGGGGAGGAGGAGGAGGGTGGTTCGGGCGCGCGTGGGTCATATTGCAACCGGAGCGGCCACTTTACAACCAGATGGGGCACTTTACAACCAGAATGGGTTTCCCCAAAAAGGACACTTCATAATTAGGAAGACCATCTTACAACCAAGCGAGTACACGCACATAAGCGACACATGTTCTTCAATGTCCGAAACCTCCGTGGCTCCACGTAGGAGAGACACTTCGCTCTCTGAAGCGTGTTGGTTGTAAAGTGACTCGTCTGAAGCGAAGACCTGTGAAGTGGCGCATTCCTAATGAGATCCAAGAGGAATCCGAATGGATTCCGATCGGCACCCTTCCCACGGGGATCCTGGTGGCACCAAATGAAGCCCATTGGTACCCAACAAGATTCTTCGATATGGCGCCAACGAGCGTCCGGTTGAAATCCGAGAAGGATGCTTCCTATGGAAACCCGTCGGGGTCCTTCCTAATGTAAACCATTCGGGGACCCATTTGGATTACAATCGAGAAACCTTCATATTTTTGGAAGCTCCACTCCAACCAGCATTGTGCGAGACACCGCAGCCCCTCGCGCGACCCCGGCAGGAGTCCCCCCTGCATCGGCAGACGCGGAGGGGAGGGGAGGGGGAGAGAGGAGGGAGCAAGCGGCAGGCACCCCTAGCCGCCCTCCTCGCGTCAAGCCCCGCGCGCGCGCGAGCCCCGCCGCACTGCCGGCCCCGCGCGCGGGCGCCGACCTCCGCCGCCGCGCGGGCCGCCTGCCGTCGCTCCAAGCCAGCGCGCCCGAGCCGCAGTGGCCTCCGCCTCACAGGCGAAGCCGTGCGCGGCGAGCACCTGCTCTGGCAGCGGCCGCCGCCCAACCGCGGCGCGCATGACCTCCGCTGGCCTGCGCGCTCCCACAGCGACGACTCGCTTTCCTGGAGCCGCCGCCGCGGAGCCAGCCGCTGCCGCTGGCAGCCTTGCATCACGGCCCCGAAGGAGCCGAGCGGGGAGAACGGCAGGGCGCCGCTCCAGGCTGGCCGGGTCAGCCGCCGAGACCGCTGGGGCCTCGAGCGGCGCTGCCGGGCCCCCCAAATCTTCCTCGCAGCCAACGACTTCCATGGAGATGAGGCCATCGGTATCCTGGGGACCCTTCGCCAGGCACGCCTCCATGCGGCCCGCGAAGGGACAGGCGCACCGTGCCATCTCGTAGCACGCCGTGACCAACAGGATGTCCCTCTCCGTGGCCGTGCCCAGGCCAGCCCCCTGCCTGGCGCGGGAATCAGCTCTGCGATTGCCGTAAAGGTCGATCGCCGTGATCTTGCCGTCCCGGACCGCCTGCCCGCCCAGGTGCGACTCCACCTCGATCGCCTGTACCTCGTCGAGGCTGTCGTTGATGCCCAGCCAGAGGCGCCACTTGGCCGCCCTCGGCCTCGCCGCCCAGCGAGGCGCTTTCGCGCAGGCAACCGTGGCAATGCAATCTATCGGCAGTACGCACGCCCCCAGGTTGCACCGCGCTGCCTGGGCCACCGCGGAATCCTCGCCATCGCGGGCCGATTGCGAAGGCGCCAATGGCGGCACCCTGCCCGAGGCCTCCGCCACGATTGCCCCTTGAGCGACCAGCACAACCACTGACCAGCCCGCCGCGCGCAGCGCTGGCATGTCGGCGCGCAAGCAGCAGCCATCCGTGAACACCCGCCACCCGCATCAGCAGCCAGTCCGTCTGGCGGCCGATTGCGGGCCTGCCATGCCCACCCACTCGGGCCGCCAGGGCAGAAGCTGGAAGGCGTTCGCGGGGTTCGGGGAAGAGCCCTCGCGCCAGCAGCTCCGTCCAGGGCCCCCCCTGCCGCTCCATGAAAGTAGCCGCGGCCAGCAGCTCGGGCGACGCGTCATGCCTCCAGCGCGCTGTCGCAACGCAGCGGGGCCGCCAGTGGAAGGGGGTGCCCTCGGCCGCCCCGCAGCGCTTGCATTCTGGCGCGACGTCGGGGCAAGAGGACGCCAGACGCGCTGGCGACCAGACTCCCCCGATCTGCAGACGCCGGAGGCTGGCCTTCTGATGGGGGCCCCAGAACTCCTCTGGGGGCGCGTGGAGCAGCTCCAGGGAGGCCCGCCAAGACGGCGGGGACCCCCATGGCCAAAATGACGCTAGCCGTTGCTGGACGCCCATCAATCCAATGGCCCGCTTCGCCGCCTCCCGCGCCAGCCCGCCGAGGCAAGCAGGCTCGAAGTGGTTGAAGTCCCACTCGCGGCCACGCTCGTCCAACAGCACGTCGGGCGAGGACTCCACGAACCGCCGGCCGACCCTCTCGAGCGTCAGGGACAGTGCCGAGATGGGATCCTTGACCACCTGCCAGGGGCGTGCATGCACGCGACCTTTCTTTGACGCCTGCAGACATGACAACGCCACGGGCCTGTCCAGCTGCCCCCCCCCACCGCGCGCGGCAGTGAGCCTCCGCGGCCTGGCCAACCACCAGCGCGAGCGGGCCCTGCCTCCATCCGCGGTTGGCGAACTCCAGCGACGCCCTGGTTGGCATCGAGCCGGCCGCGTGCACCGCCGACGAGCGAAGCGCGCGCAGACTGGCATCGGGGACTCATGTGACAGCAGCCCCCAGATGGCCTTGGCCGTTGGGCCCGCACTCTGCACTCGGGCGAAGCCCCATCCTGGGCAGAAGACGCGGCGCCCTTTCGCAGACTGCTCCAACGCCGCCGCTCCACGCTCAAGCTGCGTTGCCACGCCACGCTGCGGTAACAGCCGGCAGTGGCGCCCCCTCCGAGTTCCCTGTGGGCCTGCACGAAGGCTCTTGCTGCCAACGGCCAATCGGGGTGGGCCTTCAGCGCTGGCGTGGCCAGCGCGACCGTCTTCTTCCAGTTGATGGGCAGTCTAGCGGCCTGCAGCCCCCGGACCAAGGCTTTGGCCCCCCTGGCCAGCTGGCGCCCCGCAGTGGTCACCCCGCCGACGACGTGCAGCGAGATGTCGTCGATGGCGTTGATGCACTGGCCAATTGGGCATGCCGCTGCCTCGCTGCGGAGCGGGGCAATCAGCCCAACATTGGCCAGCGCAGTCGCGCAGCTGCAGCCCGCAATGATGGTCCCGTTGGGGCTGGCCAAGCTGCCCACAATGGCCTCGACCTTGCCTCGGTCCACGGTTGAGGCAGCACAGCGCGCGCAAGGGGCCCGCGTCGAAATCAACCGAGCGCGCAGCGTCCGCCAGCTGCTCGTGGCTGACCCTCTCGTAGAGCTTGGAGATGTCTGCATAGACGCTGCCTGCCTCCATGCCCCGGCCCCGCGAATGCTGCACTGGCGCGTTGTGCAGCCAGGCAGCGCGGTCGCAGCCAGTTGTCGCGGGCTGTCTGGCTGTCTGGGCTGTCTGGCGCCGCCTCCAAATCCATATAGCAAAGACGCCGGATCCTCGACCAGGCGCGGGCAACCATGGCCATGAGCCGATGAGCTACTTCCCGCCGTCTGCCTTCGGGATGAACACCATGAGGCACAGCAGCATTTCCGACATGATATGGCCCCGCTCCCAGGCCGAGAGCATGGCCGTCATGCGGTCGGCGAATGGTATCCCCAGCTCGTGGGGGAGCCTAGGACGCACGCCTCCCATCCCAATCCAGTGCCTTTCGCGACAGAGTCGATGACCCCCATGACTTGGTCACCTGCGATGTCGGGCAAGGACCGGACTGCCTTCCACGATAGAGGATGGCTCTCTCCACAACGGCCGTCATCGACCCAGAGCGGCAGCCAGTCCCGGGACAGACGATCTGACCGACCAACGGCTCTGCCACCTCCTAGGCCGCGGCATCGTCGAGGATAGCGACCCCTTCCGCGCGCCGAGCCTCGCGCAACTGCAGCGCCCCCCGGGCTTCTCCACCGGAGGCGTCCTCGACGAAGGCTTTCCGCTCCTGATTGCGGCGCTGCGCATCCCCCTTATACGCCGGAATCTCAAGAAGACTTCCAGAGCATCCAGGAACCAAGCGCCCTCGGGCCCGCGCTCCAGCAAGGCGCCCGCCAGGGGGCGCGCCTGGGAGCGAATGAAGTTGCCTTGCTCCTGCTGCTCGAGCTCGACGAAGGCCTCCTCCAGGCGGGGCCGCAGCACCGTCGCGCAGGCCGCCTGCGCGCTGCCGGGCTCAGCGGGGGCCCCCGCGCCCCAGAAGCTCCGAACACGCGAGGCCATGCAGACTCAGAGGATCGCGTTCGGGCCTGCACGCCGCCGCAGGTGCGCAGAAACCGCCGAGGCCAATGGCGCCTGCGCCAGTGCGCAGCCGCGAGCGCGCCCATAATGGCCAGCAGCCGCTCGCCCGCGGAAGCCGCGACGGACGCCGCACCGCCTCCGCCTTGGTGAACCACTCCGTCATGGCGTCCTCCACCGGGGCTCCGGAGCAGCCAACCGCCACCTGCCAGACCAGCCGGTACGTGAGGCTGGCGAATGCCGCGATGCCATCCTGGTCCAGCTCGGCGCCCAGGTCGAACGCAAGTGGCATCCTGGACACCTGAATATGCCTCCCTGGCGTGAGCCCCTTAAGCCTCAGCGCCACAACGCGGCGCGCTGGCAGGGGCAAGGCGGAGGGCACGGTCACCTCGTAGCCGCAGCCGGCCAGCACCGCCGAGGCCACGAAGAAACCATAGACCTCATGCAGGTCCGCAGACCGGGTGCCAGCGCAACACCATCCAGACACCGGATCCAACCTCCGCCATGGCCTCGGGCTTGACACTCCAGTCCCCCCCGATGACGAATTGCCGCGGCTGCTCCAAGAGCCATCTCTGCAGCTCCTCCATCAGCTCCAGGTTGGCGCCCTGCGCGCCCATCGAGAATGCGAGGTAGACCGAGACGAACAGCACCTGGAACCCGCTGAGCGCAGCCCTGCGCGCCAGCACGCGGGCAGCCTCGCAGCCTGGGCCCGTCGCTTGCCGCGCGAAGCCGAGCGAATTGTCCACGACCGTGGACACTCCCTCCGACGCGGCGTTCGCGGACTCGCCCGCGCGAACCACGGGGCCACTCGCCAGCTTGGCCTTGAAGGTCGGAGCCCGACTTCCGGCCGTCAACTGCGCCGACTCCGAGACGAACCTTGTCTCCTGGGCCAAGGCTACACGCGGCCTCAGACCTTGGTCCGCCCTCCACGGCAGGCCCTCCTCGGCCCTGGCCCATGCGTCGCCGTTCAGCGTCGCAAACAGAAGCTCCGACGGCTGGGGGCCTGCGACTCCTGGCTGCTGGGTTGGTTCGCCGGCGCGCCAGCAGGGTCGGCTCGGCCATAAATGCCAAGCGCCAGCGACAACGCAGGGCGGGGAGTCAGCATGTCCCCGACGCCCACGGCCCGCGTGCAGACAGAGGCTGCCTCCGGAGGCGCCGGAGGGCAACGAATTGTTAACACCTTTTTGGCCTCCTCGTCTCAGCGCGGCCTCCTCGGCGACTGCCCCCCCCCCAGCGCCTTCAGCAAGGCTGGGAAAGCCTCGCCCCTCCCGCGCGCATGGCCCGCTGGGCTCCCGCGGCTAGGAGCTGGCGACGACGATGTGGCCGCTCCGCCAGGCGGCCTGACCTGCTCGTCAAAGTCTGGGCATGCTTGACCCTCCGCCTCCATCCACGGCTTGGCTAGCAGCAAAAGGAAGCACACCAGCCGCATCGGCCAGTTGCCGCCGAAGGACTGCACTGACCGGCGCCCGCGGGCCCTGCAGCGTCGCCGCGACGCGCGGCCCCCCCGCGCTCCTCTGCCAGCGAGGGCCCCCGCAGGCTTACCGCCCCTCCTTGGTCTCGGCGTCGACCCCGTCCATGGGGCAGCTCCCCAGGCGATCGCGGTTGACTCATTTAGGCGCGCCGGACTAAGTCAAGCGCGCCGGACTAAAGTTAAGCGCGCCGGACTAACTTAAGCGTTCGAATGGTTAATCTTGCGCGTATCACATATATGATATGGCCTCATAACACTTATAAGCAAAACAGAAGCAAAGGTAGACAACATGAATGAGAATCAAGTGAATAAGACGATGGATGACTTAAGCGCAAATGACAAATAATGAAACGTATCGGGCGTCCGAATGCGGCGGCACGTCGCACAGCAACGCTGCCACGTGGCCGACCTCCTGGGACCGTCAGGGGCGGGAGCACAGCAACTCAGATGTTGCCGTGGTGATGTACGGTTTCGAAACATAAATATGGAGCGGCCCTCCCCGCTCTCGCGGGGCGGCCTGGTGTGAGCGGGGATGGGAGGCGGCGGCCCTCCCCGCCCTCGCGGGGCGGCCTTGCCGCGTAGGGGGGTCGAGGAGCTCGGAGGCGGCGGCCCCGCCCTCGGGGGCCGACTCACCCGCCTTTACGGATGGATGGATGGATGGATATGTGGATGGTTGGATGGATGCATGGATGGATGGTTGGATGGAGGATGGATGGATGCAGCTTTTCGGGGACCACTGAGCTAGAACAAGAGGTCCCCACTTCGGGGACATCTTAATCATACGCACGGGTCGGCTATGAAGCCTTGCAATCGAATGCTGAATAGATATCGGCCTCCACATTGCATGGATGTCCCAGGCGATTCGTTTGCGCAATTTGCAAGGATGTCCCAAGCGATTCGCTTACTGCACAGGGCGGCATCCCCCGGACGTCCGCATGGTTTCGATCGGTTTGGACGCGACCATGGCGACGAAACGATTTCGAATGCGCCGACGCCGCCGTCGCCGCGCCCGAGCTCCCCAGGCCTGTTGTTATCGGTTTTTACCCCGCGCGAACGGTTCTGCGGCATTGACGCGCGATGAGTTGAGGTGCGTTTAGGGCACGTCGGCGGGGAGGCGAGGAGCACGAGGAGGATAAGAGGAGACCACCCGACCATCAGCAACTGGCAACTTAGCGCGCGGTCCGCGCAGTTCCGTTCAGAATGAAGGAGAGGGAGGAGGAGGAGGAGGAGGAGGAGGAGGAGGAGGAGGAGGAGGAGGAGGAGGAGGAGGAGGAAGAGGAGGAGAGAGGAGGAGGAGGAGGGGGAGGAGGAGGAGGAGGAGGAGGAGGAGCAGCAGGAAGAGGAAGAGGAGGTGGAGGAGGAAGAGGACAAGAAAGACACGATCGGCGGCGTACAGTGCAGCCTTGTAAAATTAAAAACTGTGCCAGAGCGAGGTTGGGCTGCCCTCGTCGCAACTGAAATCGCGGGGCACAGGCAGCTGGCCCCCGCAGAGAGATGTGGCTCAAGCCACGGGCATCCTATTCAGATTCCTCCCCCTCCTCCCCCTCCTCCTCCTCCTGCTCCTCCTCATCCTCTTTCGCCTGTTCCTTCTCCTCCTCCTCCTTCTCCGCCTCCTCCTCCTCCTCCGCCTCCTCCTCCACCTCCTCCTCATCCTTATCCTCATCCTCCTCCTCCTCCTCATCATCCCCCCAGTGGGCCCCAGATGTCGTGAGTGTCGACTGGTTGCCGCTGTCCCGTCGGTCGTTGCGTATCCTTGGCTGGCGTTGCTGCCCCCGCTGCTGTTGCTGCTGGTGCTTCTATTCCTCCTCCTCATCAGCGTCACCACCACCATCACCGCCATCATCGTCATCAGCATCAGCATCGCCACCACCATCATCATCATCATCAGCATCATCATATTCGTCGCCGTCGTCGCCGTCCTCATCCTCATCTGTATCATCATTATCCCCCTCCTCATCCTCCTCCTCCTCCTCATCATCATCATCATGTCATACGTATCCTCCTCCTCCTCCTCATCATCATCATCGTCGTCATTATCATGATCATCATCGTCCGCATCATCACCATCAGCATACTCATCAGCAGCAGCATCAGCATCATCATCATCAACATCATCATCAACATCGTCATCATCATCATCATCATCATCATCGTCATCATCGTCACCGTCATCATCATCATCAACATCATCAGCATCCTCATCATCATTCATCCGCATCCAGTGCACTGGCAGCTCACACCTGGCTCTCAGGCAGGGCGTGGCTCTCGGGCACGGCGTCGACCTGCTGGCTCTCGGGCTAGTTGACCTGGCTCTCGGGCGCGCCGTCGACCTGGCTCTCGCTCAGGGGCAAATTGGTCTGGCTCTCGGGCGCGCCGTCGACCTGGCTCTCGGGCTGGCTCTCGGGCGGGGCGCCGACCTGGCTCTCGGGCTGGGCGTCGACCTGGCTGTCGGGCTGGCTCTCGGGCTGGGCGCCGACCTGGCTCTCGGGCTGGGCGTCGACCTTGCTCTCGGGCTGGGCATCGACCTGGCTCTCGGGCGTGTTGTAGACCTGGCTCTCGGGTGTGGCGTCGACCTGGCTCTCGGGCTTGGCGTCGACATGGCTCTCGGGGTGGGCGCCGACCTGGCTCTCGGGAGGGCCGTCGACCTGGCTGTCGGGCTTGGCGCCGACCTGGCTCTCGAGCTGACCGCTGCTCTTGCTGTCGGGGGGGGCGCTGACCTGGCTCTCGGGCTGGCCGCTGCTCTTGCTCGCGCCGACCTGGCTCTCGGGCTCGCCGACCTGGTTCTCGGGCTCGGGGCAAGTGCCGACGCTCATCATGGCCGCGACCAGCCTGTTCTCGTCGAACGGTTCGGTCGGCGCCGCATGGCTCGCACGCGTGCCCATCGCGCGCGCCATCAGCCTGTTCTGGTCGAATGGTAATCGTCGGTACCCCCCACCCCCTCCAGCTCCCTCTCCTTGGGACGAGCGGCGAAGGGGCATGAGAGAAGCGTGAGGAGGAGGAGGAGGAGGAGGAGGAGGAGGGGAGGACGGAGGGGAGGAGGATGGAGGAGGAAGGAGGAGAGGAGGAGGAGGAAGAGGAGGAGGGGAGGAGGAGGAGGCGGGAGGGTAGGAGAAGGATGAGGAGGAGGAGGAGGGGAGGAGGAAGAGGAGGAGAGAAGGGGGGGAGAGGCGTAGATGAGGAGAGATGAGGAGAGGCGAGGTGGAGGAGGAGGAGGAGGAGGAGGAGGAGGAACTGAGAGAGAGAGAGAGAGAAAGAGAGGAGAGAGAGAGAGAAGAGAGAGAGAGAGAGGGAGAGAGGGAGAAAGAGAGAGAGAGAGAGAGAAACAAGAAAGAGAGAGAGAGAGGGAGAAGAGACAGCATGGGACGTTACAGACCACCCTGTCTCCATCAGCTGCGTCAAGAGGGTGGCCATCGTGAAAGTGCGCGCCATGAGAGCAGAAACTGCAGGACATACGCGTCGGCGCTTCGACACGTGGGATGCGTTCGGGTCGTTCGGGAACAGTTGCCCGTAGAGCATCGAGACAGCCGGAGTCTGCCGCAGGCGAGCGAGGACCTCCGCGTTGGTCTCAGTCATAGTAAATGTACCCGCGGGGATCTCTGTCATGAACGACTCGAGCCCAATCGGCCGCGTCACAGGTCACCCCGGATGCATCGGCGATGCGTCGGAGACGATCGCCCATGCACGCAAGGTCCTCTCAAATGCATCTGCGATGCGTCGGCGCTGGCGATGCAGCGACGATCAGCGATGCGTCAGCGATGCGTCAGCGATGCTTCAGCGATGCACCAGCGATGCACCAGCGATGTATCAGCGGTGGCCCACCAGATCCCCACCCGAAGCCTCAACGAGTACGTGCCCGAGATGTGTTAGGTTTGGCTCATTCGCGTCCAGTTGGCCCCAGACGTACCACAAGATCCCAAATTAGATTTCAACGCGGCATCCCGAAAACGGCCCCGTTGGGGCGCCGACGCAGCAGAACGCGGGGCCAGACGATGGGGCGGCACGACATAGGGGATGAGGAGGGGAAGAGGGGGTGGGGAAGGGGACGATGATGATGACAAGGAGGAGGAAGAGCAGGAGGAGATACATAAATGATGAGGATATAACCGTGCACGGCAGGTCAGGGGAATGGTAGAGGGGTGCTGAGGAAGCGTCCTGCCTCGGTTCCAGTGTGCCCACTGTGCGCCTATGGGATGCCCACCAGCAGCGGGGGCCTGCGGTGCAAGCAACATACTATACACGCCTGACGGTGCATGGGGAGGGGAGGGGAGCAGCATTGTTATTGTGTGTAGTAATGTTGCATGCCATATGTGCTCTCTGTTGTGCGTCTGTCTGCTCTCTCTGTCGCTCGCCCTCGACCCGATAAATTCGGCGCTCAATTGATGTCGCATTGAAACACAGCTTGAAACATGTCGGCGAAGGCGATGCCGAACAAAGGGGGGTATTCGCCCGTTGATTTCAATCCAGGCTCCCCCTCATAATATCCCTTACGGGGGTGCAGCGTCCACACTTTGTCGCGGGAAGATG